GTTTGGTTTCATTCATGTGTTCTCAAAGAATTACTTACCAAATTATTCTGTTTTGACAACAGCATATCACTTATTTCACAAAACTAGTGCACCATAATCAAACTAACTTTTTCAGCACAAACATTTCAGTTTGATTTGGTTTTCATCTTTAGTTTTATTTATCACTTTAAATATGAGAAATGTCTTTTTCTTAGGGTTGTTACTTTTCATTTTTTTGAAAATTTTAAATATTTTATGTTTTAATTTTTGTTTTATAATGTATATACTTTATGTATTTGTGTCACTGGTTTTCCCAGCAGCCTCTGGGGGGCAGCAGCAGCAGCAGTAGTAGAAGAAGAAGTGAATTAACATGTCAGATGAGGAGGATGCGGCTCCGGCCGTGAAGAGGACTCGTATTTTCTATGGGAGCTTGGAGGAGAAAGAGCGGGAGCGCCTGAGCTCTGAGATGGTGAGCAGTGTGGCAGCAGGAGGTGATGCGGTGAAGGCGGGGGTTGAGGCCGGAAACATCAACATCTCATCAGGTAAGTTCTAAATTACGGGCGTGTCTAAGTGTGTGTGATGCGTGAGTCAGACTGTTTCCCATGATGCCATGCAGGAGAGACTCTGGAGATGGAGGAGCGGGTCAGCGAGCGGCAGCAAGAAGCGCTCGCTGAGTTTGAGCGACGGCGGCGAGCGCGGCAGATCACCGTCTCCACTGATGATGCAGAGGTGAAGGCTGGCCTCCGGGCGCTGGGAGAGCCCATCACGTTATTCGGAGAGGGACCAGCTGATCGCCGGGAGAGGTGGGAAAAACAAAATCTGGTTTTGTTACTGAATAAGTTTTAAACAATGACACCGGAGACTATGTTTAAAAACTAGACAAAAATGGACCAAACAAACTGTTGACTGTATTTCATAATGAAAATCACTTTTTTTGGCCAAGTATGTTACACAGGCAAGGAGTTTGTCTGTGATACAGAACCAAGACGCCAACTCACACACACACACACACACACACACACACACACAGCCCCTACAGGGCACTGACCTGGCCGTCGGGAGCAACTTGGGGTTCAGTGTCTTGCCCAAAGACACTACGACATGTGGACTGGGGAGAATGGGAATCGAACTGCTGATTAGGGGATGTCTGCTCTACCTCCTGAGCTGCAGTCCCCCCAAATAAAAACTCAGAGTAGACTCGAAATTATGTTGCTGATGTATTAGTGCTGTGCTTTGTACCTTCGCTACCCCCTTTAGGCCGATTTAAAGATTGATCCGAGAGTAAACTCCCACAGTTACAGACTGACAAAGTGAAACTGTGAGTTGGTTTCCAGAGGAAAAAAACTCATTCAAAAGCCTAGTGAGATTTCAAACATCAGCCTTAGAGCAGTCTGTTCAAAAACATGTCATGTCTCTTTTTTCAGCTTTTAAGAACATTTCCATGAAATATTGTGAGTGAGTTCAGCACAGAGATGACTGAATGCTGTTTCAGACAGCAGACAGGAGAGGAGAGGAAAACAGAGCATCATAAGAGTATCAAGTGTCGTACGCAGGGAGGCTGCAGCACTATTGACAAGATAATTGACTTGTGTGGAAGTAAGGTTAAGGTGGTTGCCCTCCATTGTGTTGGCACATTTCACTCAAGTAAATAATGATGGAGCATTTTAATATATGCATATAAAAGTACTCGGCTATAAACAAGATGCAGTCTAGCACAGCTCTCAAACAAAACAAAACAAAAGAGCCCAGTGAACTTCTGTAATCGCCCTCAACATTAGCCCCCCTGTTGAAAAAACCTACCAGTGGCTGGACAAAGCTGGACTGAAAGACAGCACAGAGGCACTAATCCTGGCAGCACGAGAACAAGCTCTAAGTACAAGATCAATAGAGGCCGGGGTCTACCATACCAGACAGGACCCCAGGTGCAGGCTGTGCAAAGATGCCCCTGAGACAATCCAGCACATAACAG